GTCTTGGAAGGTATCCATTGCATACAATAACTTGGGAGAGTGGGGTTATGACAGACAGGACTCAAATTGACTGTAATCGAACAATTTGGTTAGTGTTAGTTGATGATGAAGGGGCAGTGCAGGTTGTTTTTTTGGCAGCATCGGTCAAGATGTGTCAAACGGCTGACTGTGCAACGCCCTTCCTTGGAAAATTTAAGTGCTGAGTAGTACTTCCCTTTGCCCAATTCCCAGAAGGGATGTGCTGCAACAGTTGAAGATGGTTTTGTGCTGTGAAATTTTTGGGATGACAGAACACAGATAGCCATGCTATATCATTTTGAAGTAGAAAACAAGTAAGAGAATGTACTGCATTGTTTTGGAAATAACAAAGGAAATAGAAACGTGTCACACAGTGGGCATCCCTCTCCACAACAGATATGGTGAGACATTTTTTCTCTTAGGGGTTCTTGAAAGTCCCATTACCAGTGCTGTTGCTCACTTTAGCCAAGAATAGCAAGAAGTTGATAATATTGGCAGTGCTGTTCATGGCAGGCACACCTGATGAGGTTGACGACATCGACTTCTTGGATGATCTGGAAGGGAAAGCCCTTGGGGCATCTTCAGCAGAGGTGGAGCCAGGCCCTGACCTGCACACAAATCTTTGTTGGGTGTAGAGGCACCACTGCACATGTCGTTTGTTCATCATGTATTTGGAATTTTGACGTCTTGAGGTGTTTAGTACTGGATGTTGCATGATTGGCATTCATTGTCAGATGTGTACAGCTGGATAGCCATCCGGGTTGGGTATCCGAATTTGTCAGAATCTGAGTAATCGATTGTGATGTGGTCTGTGGAATATGATGGCTGGCACTACAGTGAGCTGACTTGAAAATCTGTTACACTTTATGTTGAGCAATAAAATCACACATCAATGAGTGGGAGCAGAAATAATACACACAATTTTAAGTGCATGTGGTAGTCGGATCGTTATCCCATAGGTGCAATAAGCAGAACAATCCGATTCCTGATGACACAAGTCTGACAACACTGCAGACACTGCTCAGGCAAATGTGCCCCTGGCACAGTAGTTTATATGGTACTTCATACAACAGTACGATGCACGGTAAGCTCCATTGTGCTTTGCCATTTGCACCACTTTTACACCACCCGCTTTTGAAATGTGCAGACCGCTGCAGCTGTTCCTGGGACTTGTTTATCACCAAACGTGCTCTACAAATGGACATTGGAGAATCTGAATAGGAACTGCCACCATTTCACTCTGTCAGAAAGTGAATAAGCATCGCACTTGATAAACAGGTGGGACTGATCCAGGAATCCCTGTATCCTTTCTATATGTATTCAAACGATTGATGTACAATGCATTTTTATGAAAACAACTGTCTAGTAGTGTACAGAGGCATTGTGTTGCAGATTGTTGGACATGTCATGTCTATATCGTCTAAATTGTGTTTGCTGTATTAACGAGATTGATCTGAGTTGTGATTATCCAAGAGAAAGTACTGAGAGACTGAACAGCTGTGCCCCTCCGCTGCCAGGCCCTGTCTGTTCGACACCATGCAGTCACTGGGGGCAATGCCTCAGCAAGCCACCGGAAGCGGATCCGGGGGGCCATGGGGGGCTATGCTGCATCTGCTGCCCCCCCACTGGGGCAGGCAGGAACAAAGGAAAAAGGCAAGGGAAAGCCCTTGGCAAGGATTTTCAAAAAGGGAGACAGGTGTGTGTGAGGCCTTTGAGGATCACTGGCATGGAAATATCTGGTTCCGCATGACGCAGGACAAAGCCGAGTCATGTGCAGCACGATGTAGGTCCAGTTGGGGCTGTATACATTGTGCGGTGAAATTGCAATGTTTCTTAGTTGATAGTTGGGGTGTACCAAATGCCAGACCCAACATGCTGAGAGACCACGGTTGCAGCAAAGCAACAGCAGCACTGGCATGTCCACCGTTGACACATCAATATATCAACAGTTTGTGCGATGTTTCCCTTGGCCCTTTTTTGATGAACGCTGCAACAGTGCACTTGGTGCGCATGCCATTGATGCACGTGTTCCTCTGGAGCTGTGGGCAGGCAGTCAAAGATGTCAAATGCATCAGAAACAGAAGATTTTTTATGAATGATTGAGGTCTTTTACAAATGATACAGATGTCAATTGTGCAAAACAGACCTCAAACATGCACATAGCGTTGCTTGAGCCATATCCTGCCAACTCCCTTTGTCACATTTTCTGCAAAAACTGCACTCCAATATGCACTCTCCCACACATTCTCCCGTGAAAGTCAGCACATTAACAGGTAGGCAACGATTATAGTGAGGTAATACTTCCTCAACTTGTCATCACAAACTTTAAGTGCTTAAGGTGATGACAGAAGTTCACTGTTCTGTCAAGACTATGATAGTCATAAGTCCATGAGCTGAAGCAATATCTGAACCTGGGGGTGTGGCAGCTGCACCTGCCACTAAAAATGTGTCGTTTCATCACATTGCAAGCAAGGATATATTCAGTTCATACACAAGAGGGAGACAGATGATGCCAGAGAAGCTTCTCCAAAATGGACATCTGGGAAGGGGCAAGCTGGGCTGAATCTATCACTTCAAGGATAGAAGTACATATTTATCTGTATGAGAATGAAACCATTGACCTTGTGGGTGTAAATCGCTGGGGCATCACTGCAAATACTGCCTTTGCATAGTAAAGCAACTCTAGCCCAGCACAGATGGACATGCGTCCATTGCGTACTTGCATTTGTCTTAGATTGGAGTAGTAGTTTGAAGGAAATTGTGAATGAGAATTCATAATTTGCTTCCATTGCCGCCTGAATGGCGGCACTGCTTTGTATGGCAATGCCCTTCAAGATCAACAGTTGGCTTGTCTGTGGGCTAACCAGCATCTGTATGATCTGCTTCCTGAGCCTGAATCTTGGCCAATGCTTCACTATGTGTCAACATAGTTCAAACAGAATTCGACCTGTATTCAGGGTAGTCTACATGGGGGGTGCAGCTGGTGCGCCATCTGTGGGCTTGGGCCTCCGCAGCACTGGCAGCCACCCGGCCCAGCTTCTGCATGGCATGCAGGGCGACGTTTGCAATCTGGGGCTCATATCACGAAACAACCGGGAGCACCAGGCCAACCGTGGCCCCTGGCACGGCTGCCCAGGGAAAGTCGTGCTTGTCTGGAAGGACAACCCAAAGAAGGTGCATGTTCACACCTGCCTTTTTTACGATTCCAGCAGGTTACAATATTTGTGGGAGATTAATTATTGTCGCCATCTAGGTAGAGTTGATGCATGCCTTCTGCAACCCTGGGGGTTGGGGGGCCCAACTGCCCACCTTAATGACTTCAGCTTGGGCTTGGAATGCAAGTCAAGTGTTGGATGGTGTGTTGGCCCAGGCCACCCTGAAATTGCATGTCCTGATTGTGGTCAGTAATGTGCTGCTGAATAACTGGGGACAGGTTCTTTGTCCAACCCACAGTGGCACTTTTTGAAATGGGCACAGATGTTGCTGAATTCAAACAGCCAGCATGGAACATCAAATAGGAGCAAGTGTTGCATCTGTGTCGTTGTGCATAGGCAGCTCCTCTGACCTTGTGTTTCATGCCTTGTGTGCACCCATTCCAGCCTTGGAAAGCAGTCCCCATGCACATGGCATAGGCATCAGCGATGCTACCACAAAATGAATCCCAGACATTTATAGACAATGTAGCAGGAGTCAGACCCTGCCTGTTGCTCGTGTAACCTTCCCCTTGTTTTTCCAAATGCCCGTCCACGAAGGCGTATGTCTCCCACACATACAGCATGTTATGTTCTTCTGTGTGGCCACACTGTGCACAATCTCCTTTTTTATCCCCTGATTAAGCTGGCATTGTCCAACCAAAGGTGGGCGTGCGCTTTGACTACGCTGTGCCTGGAGGCATCGATCTGGATCATCTGTGCGAGGATGGGCATGGGTTTTTCTGCTCGGCGAGTGACCTGAAGATTGAGAGCTGTAGGAGGTCCCAGGAGCAGGAGGCACTGGCGATCGATGCACTATTTGAAGTGGTAGAGGAGCTTGCAGCAGAAGGGCCAGTGACGGTTGTGCTCAAGGTGAGGTTATGCTCATTTTTTCTGTTGCTATTGCTCCTCAAGTTTTGCATTCGAATCGGTGGATCTGTTACAGGTGTTTCAATGTCACTCGGTGTGTTCTTGATTCTCCAATAGCACTGAATGTATTAGTGACATCGATAGAATGTTTATGAAATGATTGTAATGGAATGATAAATGCAAACGGGTTTCTGGCGGGTAAGCTCCTTTCCCGAATCGGGACAGGGGCAGTACTGCATACATGAGGTACAGCTGCAGATGATGAGGTATATTCATAGATGTTGAGGTATATGCACAGATGTTCAGGTATATCCACAGATGATTCCATAGATAGATTAGTGTGTGGTTCCCTGTGGACAACAGTGCATGATAGGACATCACATCCTAAGGAACCAAGCAAACAATTGAATTAAAAATAATGAATAGAATCAGAATCACAGATATGCTATTGCTTCAAACCCTTGTGGGCTGTGTGATTCTGACAAGGAGGGATATGGAAGTACAGGTTGCCTCCACTTCCATGCAGGTGTGTGGTGCACAACAGCATGTACAGAAGTTGAATACAATTGTTGTGATCAGTGCTGTTCAGTGTCATTTGACAAACTAAACTCAACCACTGATTTCTCATTGTGAGTTTGACCTCTTGATTCCGGTCTGGATGCTTCAGGATGTGGAGAAGTGTGTAGCGGGCACGGGGGAGAGGTACAGCCACTTCAAGTGCCGCCTGGATGCCCTTCATGGTCCCGTGCTGGTGGTTGGCCTGCACGCGTCAGATGCACGGCGGGATCGGGCACCGGGGGGGCTGTTCTCAAGACTGGGGCCGTCGCCAGGGGCTCTGCTTGAGCTCGGCTTCCTGGACAGCCTGCGATGGGAAGACAAGGCCATCCAGCGCTCTGAGTCGTCAAAGGTGGGGTGAATGAATGTGAGCGTGGCGGCAACTTGGAAAAGGGCAGGCTGGTCATGGAACTTGTCTGTGCTGAACCCGGATGATCGGGCAGTGTCAGTTTTGCAGTGTTTGCATGGACCTGACAAGGATCGGCAGTGTCAAAGGTTGGCAGATGGCCCCCTTTGTGGTTGTTTACATATTCACAGCACCTGGCAACACATTCTCATATCAACAGCATTTCACATTCAGGGTCCATCCAGTGCCAGTTCTCTAATGTTTCCAGTGCATTGTAATAAACATGGCTACAGCATATGAACAGCACATCTTGCACTGCTGCCACAGGCCATGAAGCTGTTGTTGCATCTCATGCCCAACCGCTGCACCCTCCATGCCCCCTTGTCAGAGCCCCTGCAGGCCGATTGGAAGAAGCTCATAGAGCAGGACATCAATCTCATGCGCGAAGACTCAAATCGGCGGCGGATCTCATCCATCCTGATTCAATGCAACGTTGACTGTCCTGAGATTCAATCTGTCATCATCAGGGACACAACGCTCCGACAGGTGAGATGGATCGAATTTTTGACATCCCGTGTGGGGATGATGCTATTGGATTGTTCGAAACTATTCAAATTGTTGCTGAAAAGTAATTGCAATCTGTAGTTGGAATTTTCCGAAGGTACAGAGCACATGTACAGGATCAGGAACCATCCCCATACAGATGTGCATGCCTTGTTGAGCATCGTGTTGAGCATCGCTGCAGTTCTTGGGACTGTACATCCCTCATGCAGCAATGCAGAGCCCTTTGGGGCTCAGCACTGCAACGTACTTTCTTGTGAGTTGGCACAGATAATGCAGGCCCTGCATTCCTTCTGTTGGGAGGGAGGAGGCCTGCCTGGATTCGAGCATGTGACAATAAGGTGCACCCATATTTTGAAATGCAAAACAGGCAAGGTCTTGCACATGTTTCGGCAATACCAGTCACAAGACACTGCTAGCCACAACGTTTTCGCCCATGCGGCTAGGTGGGGTCCATTTGTTTTTTCAATATGTTGAGAAGGTGTCAATAAATAGGTTTGTTCGATATATTGATGACTCAAGGGTGAAAAGCACGAATTGATGCTGTGTTGCTGCACGGGGAGCTAAATAGTATTTGTACTGAAGCATCTGCAAAATATGACTATTTTAGTTGAATTTATATCGACATATATTTTAATAGCAAATGCAGCTAAAGATGAAAGGAATACTGACTTTTGCTCAACCAGGAGGGGATTGGTGTCTTTGAGATGTTCAAGCATGCTGAATTGGACATCAAGAATTTGCCAATTCCTTGCCTTGGCTTTGGGGTTCTTTTCATAATCATGTTGTCATTATATCAGTTCATTCACTTACAATGTTCCTCGGTCATTGCTCAAGCCACCTCGTCCATCCAGCCAACATTTTGGACGAAGCACCCTTTCGCATGGTGGGTACAGAGTCAAAGTACAAAGACTCTGCAAGGTACTGAACCAGACTACCACCAAGCACAAGCACTGAGCAAAACTACTACGACTAGGTACCAGTGTGGAGCCAAAGCACCAGGACCAAGCAAAGATTGAATGCATTCCAAAAGCAAAAACGCTCACACCAACCAACTTGCACCTAATCTTGTCAAAATGCTCTGAAGCCAGTTCTGGTGCTCTAGGCACACAGCTTGAATTCCTTACATGAAAAAGGCATGCCCCCAATGCAGTTCGTTGTTTGGGCCCATTAACAAGCAATGCGATTCAGGCTACTTTTGCCCATTCTGTTCCAAGAAAAGAAAGGCACTTGAGTAGATTTTGATTTTGGCAGGACAATGCTGAGAGGCTGGTTGGGCTCGCAGCAGCTCACTGCCTGAAGAAGACCGAGCAGCCAGAAGTGGTGCGTGGGCGGCTGGTGCTGCGGGCAGAGGACTTTGTGGCGGCAGCAGAAGTGTACCGCGACCTGCAGACAGAGATGATGCCATCACGGCTGGGCTTGAAGGAGATCACAACAGACAACGAGTATGAGAGGAGGCTGCTGGGCGAGGTTGTGCCACCTGAGGAGGTAAACAATTCAAGCGCTTCACTTGGGCGGAAACCTGTTCAGCTTGGACCTGTGTGCTTGTTGTTTTGTTGCCGTTCACTTTTGTATCAGTTTGTTTGTTCTCTGTTTGGGTTGTGTCTGTGGTGTGCATAGTTGCAATGTATTCTGTTCTACTGCCTGTGTTGCTGCGTTGCCCTCCAATGGCAAAAAAGCATCTACGCATCTTGTGTGCGATTTCAGGTAGTTGTTTGCTTATTTTGGCATTTTGTTTGAATAGACTTGAAAAGGAGGGGCTGCTCATCAGGCATGAGGGAGAAGAGAAACAGACAGAATAGCACTCTTTGGTGCTATGATTTACAGTTATGCGAATGTAATGGGTGTTCAAGTTGTCAGTGTGCTATGGGCAATAGCATACTGCACAGGACTGATTGTGTGTTTGGATAGACACCATCCACCTTCACGCTCATTTGCCAATGCTGTTGAAAAGCACGTGCACCATCACCTTGCAGGTACAATGGCAGGCGGATTGCATCCATTCACTTCCTAAAAATAACACTCTATTCGCTGTTCCACTTCACAGCTTACTTTCAATTCATTTATATTTACACGTTCATACTCACACTGTGTGCCACGCTTTGCACTGACTTAGTTTTGTGCTTAATTTGGGGCCACGTGATCAGTTGGATTGTGCCTCCCTTTCGCAGGCACATGGACATGTACAGTGTGTTCCTTGATGCCGGGGGTGTGGGATTTCTGCCAATTATTTTGAGGTTGTTGTAGACCTCTAGCAGAGGAACACTGTTCGACTATCTGAGTTCAGCAGAGACACGTGACGTGACTGGTGTGTCGATTTTTCACATAATCTGTACGGATTTTCATTCATTCCCATCGCAGGTCGGCGTCGGCTTTGATGACATCGGGGCTCTGGAAAGTGTGAAGAGAACCCTGAAGGAAGTCGTGATGCTGCCCTTGCAGCGGCCAGAGCTCTTTGCCCGGGGCCAGCTGTTGAAGCCGACGAAGGGAGTCCTGCTGTTTGGGCCGCCAGGCACGGGGAAGACCATGCTCGCAAAGGCGGTTGCTGCTGAGTCAGGTGGGCAGCCTCGCGGCTTGGTTGGGTGTCATGCTCAACTGAAAGGCAAACGCACATTTTCAGCCAGTGAGGGAAATGGCCTCAAACACTCTGGCCGGCCGCGTGCAAGCATTGGTTACTGTGAACATGCAGTTCTGACAGTAAACCATAGCACAGGGTGCTGTCGGCAAGGCAACGTGTAGCACCTGAGGTGTTGTGTGCGCTGAGTTGTATTGTGTGTGCAGAACAATGAGCAAGGAAATGATGGCATGGCCGGAATAAGATCAAAATAAAATCTAGGTTGGAAGCAGGTCGGGTGATGGTGCAAGTTTGGGCGCGAATTGATGTTGTTGATCTTGCTGCAGAAGGGAAGCCCAATCGTGCAGTTGACGTACAATTGCTGTGAAAACTGGGAAACCTTGCGCCTTGCCAGAAACGATGACACACTGTTCCATTGCAGTGGGATGAACACACAGCTAAAGGCAGAAAGAGACAAATGCTAAAAGCGCAAGAATGTGCAGGAAGCAAATGAATACAACCAATAGTGGTGGTTGGGGCTTCGCATCTGGTGCATAGCTTTGGACAATGAATATGGGGAGATATGCCACTCGTTTTCAAACAGTCTGTGATACGCTGCAGGAAGCGGAAGATTACTGTAGCAGTTGGTAGCTACATAACTATGGTTAGCATGGATTCAATGTCGTGATCGAAGCAAGCCAAGTTGTTTTCAGAAGCCAAATCCGCAAGGGATACACCTTATGAAATAGAAGAACGACTGCTATATCCTTTGACTAGAAATGTGCAAGAGTATTGCAAAGCGCCACTCCGCACAGCAGGGTTGCATGCAGCAGTGAATGTGAAGTTGCATTGCATGCTTGCGAAATCCATTTGGGTCAACTTACTTGTCCTCTGCGTCCTCAATATTGAGCAATCTTGGATTGGCTGTTATGTCATTCTGGAAACGGCCAATAGAGGGGCCAGGCTTGCCTATACACAAATAATTATGTTTGATACTGCATATGTTATTAGATTGTGTCTTTTGGTCATTATATAGACATTTGTTGATAACTCTCATGTCATTGTTGCTGACGCATGTTGGTGAGTCGCACAGCGGCACGTGGCTCAACTTTGCTGTGTTCAGATGGCAAGGAACATCAGCCTTGAGCTGACAGCAATTCACTCTCATGGACTGTCATGTGTGTTATGAGGTAGTGTACATCACTACAAACAACAACAGTGATCGACTTCCTCAGCTGAACTTACAGTACACTGTGCTGGCACCAGGTGCAAACTTCATAAACGTGAGCGTGGCGACCGTGGCCTCCAAGTGGTTTGGCGAGGGCGAGAAGTACGTGCGCGCGCTGTTCTCTCTGGCCCACAAGATCGCCCCCAGCGTGATCTTCATCGACGAGGTGGACTCCCTCTTGGGGCGGCGGGACAAGAACGGCGAGCACGAGGCCATGCGCAAGATCAAGAACGAGTTCATGGCGAGTTGGGACGGGCTGAGGACCAGGGAGAGCGACAGGTGCGGAATGGGGACTTGGGATATGCTGTAAAATATTAAAACCTTTCGCATCAAAATTTTACCACTACGCTGTTTGCCCCGCATTTTTGCTTCCAGAAAGTTTTTTCATTTAATTATGTAACTCTGCAAAAAAGGCCATGCGTTACGTTACCATGCAGAAGGGTTGAATATTTTACAGTATATTTATCCCGGGTTGCACCTTTTCTGCGCAATAAGTCTCTTTCAGACCAAGCGACAGGCTTTCTGCCACACCAAACTGTACATATACGGTGTATATGGTGAATATGTATGGTGTATATACAAGGGGGTTCGGGACGCTGGGTCGGCCAGCGAATACACTCTTGCATAGTATTTTAGTATTTACCAATGAATGAATGCCAGGTCGGCGAAATTCAATTGCCGAAATCCCGTGTCAAAAGGTTGGAGGGAGCGCAAACGAGAAAGGAACATCAGTTGTCCCTTTTCGAATACCGGAATGCTTTATGCAATGGAGTACGACGATTTGATATACAAAACCAGACATGCTGTGTTGAAACTTGTTTGCATAACTCATTCCAGCGTTTTTATTTCGTCATGAGGCAAGAATGCAGGAAAATTGAAAGAAAAATGGCTGCAGCAGCGTCAGGAACTCAAATGCTATGTTCTGCACCATGCAGGGTGCTGGTCTTGGCGGCCACCAATCGGCCCATGGACCTGGACGAGGCTGTGATACGCCGGATGCCGCGCCGGCTGCTCGTGGACCTCCCCAACCGGAACAACCGTGTCAAGATCCTGAACGTCATCCTTCGAGAGGAGGAGCTGGACTCGTGCTTCAGCTTCGACGAGCTGGCCGGCATGACTGAGGGCTACTCTGGCAGCGACCTGAAGAACATGTGCCTAGCGGCTGCCTTCCGACCGGTGCGTGCCAGAAATTGCTACTACAGTCTTGCAGGGAGTTTGTGTACAGGGCTCAACTCTTTGCAGTGTTGTTGTAACTAGAACTGGTTGAGCGTTGTTGACAGCTGACGCATAACGAAGTGATGAGACATTAGGAATTGCATTGAGAACATTGATGAACGGACTGGATACAAGGGACCGAACTCCTGTTGTCCCTTTGCTCGGCTGTAAGCCAATTTGTTTGTCGTGTACTCGAGACTGCAGTCGCCGTTCAGGGGTCGCCACCCCTTGGCCCTGCCTGCCTTCGTCAGTTTTTCATGGTATTAACGTTTCCTGAATGGCGTTGGTTGTGAAGCTGCGTCGCTTGCGTGCGATTTTGTCATGGGGCTCGAGTGGAAGGCGCGTGGCAGTGGCCATGCACCTGCCAGACGATGTGTGGCATGTGTGCCACAAAGCACGGCGGGGCACGCGCCTGGTGCATTGCACCGTTTTCGCAGTGATCGCGATTGCCTCTAACTAACGAAATTCGACCCAGTGTGTATTAAAGGATTCTAGAATTACTGCAACTGGTGCTTGTTGTTTCCTCATGTCAAATATGGTAGCGGATGCTTACTAGGGTGCTGTGAAATTTTTCTCAGGTGCGAGATCACCTGGCAGCAGAGAAGAGGGCCCTGTCAGAGTCAAAGGGCGAGAATGTTACGGATGAGCCAACGGGGCCCTCGAGTCGGTCGCAGGGGTCTGATGACGTCACCATGCCAGAGGCGGAGAGGGCTGCAGAAAGCAGTGGGGAAGACAACGGGCCGATGCTGGCCAGCGGCAGTGAGTTTGGCGATTAGTTCTTTCCTGATTCCAGAATATTGGATGACGCCTAATAGAGTATGTTTGATATCTGTTGCAGTATTCAATGGTAGTATTTGGTAAAATGTGTGGTCGATTGGGGTGCAGTTCCAAACGTATGGTTTTGGTGCAGTTCTATCGATTGCTGTGCTGTAATGCTGTGTTGATAATGTGCTATTGCTAATTTGCAGCTCTGTGCCAGTATGGTGTTGTGCATAGCAATTTTTTTGTTGCTGTTGTAACAATGCAGTGACGCTGAAAGTTTTCTTGAGAATGTAGGCAACACTATCATTGTAATAACATTCGCTGGTGTGAAAATGACAACGGCAGCTTTTGTCCCTTTTCTTGTTCATACGGTTTGATGCTTGTGCATATTACTCCCTCGTTCCTTAATTTCCTTAGATTGCTGTTTTGGCATGTGTTGTCTCTGGAATATCGAAAGCCAGACGTCATCCCGGGATCATGTGCATCAGAATTTGTGTTGTGTCTGCGCTTGGTTCTGTGTTGCCGCACATGTCATTCTTGCCTCAGCACATGCGAAAGCATTGCCGACTGTGCACTATCTGGCTACATTCTGGAGCCATGTTAGTTTGCCCAAGACCGTGTGTCACTGATTCACCATATATCAGGACAGAACATTCTGGAGCCATGTCAGTTTGCCCAAGACCATGTGTCACTGATTCGCCATGTATCAGAACCGAACAGAACCAAACCAAATAATTGTTGTTAATTGTTGTTCTGTACCATGTTACTCTTATTAGGCTTTTGCCGCCTGAGGAGATGGGCGTTTTCCCACTTGGACACAAAGATGCCAGAATAGAACCCTTTCAGTGAGTTCCTTTGTAGCCCATTACGAATTGCATGAACTTGTTGACTGCTGAGCCAAGTGTCCTCGTGTTGCCCACATTTGTTCGAATCGTTGCTGACCGTCACAGGCATGCTGAGGGAGGCGTCAGGGGACTTGGGGCAGTCGACGATTTTGTCCCTGAAGCCATCGGGCTCGGGGGTTGGCCAGGAGGAGGCTGCGGCCAGGGGCCGGCGACCCACAGTGAAGCTGAGGTCCATCACCATGGAGGATCTGAAAGAAGCCATGAAAGAGGTGCAGAAACTGCCCTGGGGTGGTGCTACCTCACCAGTCGCTGGCTTTATCAACATTTCATCAATCTTGATATATTAACAATCGCTTCAGAGCAGTATAGTTCGATCTTTGAATCATTCCACCTCAGCCCCGTTATCAATCCACATCCTTCCAGATGAAGGAAATGACGCCCAGTTTTTGTCCCAAACTTGTGATTGCAAAGACTCTTGGCTGTTGTCTGGCGATCCATGTTTCTGGATGTGGAATGAGTTCATTTGTGATGCTCGTGTCCCGAGGCATGGAATGGCGCGCTGTCCCATCGGCTCATGTGTTCCCGTTTGTTGCCTCACACAACTTGCAGGATTGAAACCGGCTGACCAACTCTGACGCTGACGCCCAGTGCTCAGCGATGGCTGCAGACATTGAAATTGAATCAAAGTGCCTTGCGCCACCTGGCAATGTGGCTGACCAAGGGCTTGGACCCTCGCATTAGTGTGCTCAGAGTGGAGACCCGCTCTTGTCGATTCTGGAGCGATGACATTTGGCGGCCTTCAAAGCTATCTCTGCGACTTGAAGTGAGCACTTGGCAACAGTTTCAGGACTGTGATATCACTGGGAACAGCACTCAGTGCTACACAGCACTACTGCACTACAGCACCGTCACTGCGAATAGTATCAACCTCTGACCTAGGCGGTTGAACAAGGCGTCGAAATTCGTTGCTGATTGGTCGATTCACTGCCTGCTGCCTGTTAGGTCGGCTCCAGCGTGTCTGCGGACGCGGTGAGCATGACGGAGCTGCGGCAGTGGAATGAGATGTACGGGGAGGGCGGCAGCCGGCGAGCGACCTCTCTGCCGTACTTCCTTTAGCCCCCTCCTGGGGGAGGGCTGGGTGGGCAGGGCGGAGTGGTATGGGATTCGTTCACTCATTCTTTCGCAACGTCTCCATATGGCGGCCCTTGCTTGTCACACAGGCCAGATAGAGTTTGTGATCCATTGGGCGGAGCACCTGGGGATGGGGACCTGGCCCTTTATTCGGTGCTGGGCCGAATTGGTAAATATTTTGTAGAGCGAGAACCCGAATCTCCTTTCAGGCATGTGGTGATGAGAAGCACTTTATTAATAGGAGCTGTGGCATTTTGCCCGATACTTTGCTGTGTCCGCGCCCGTTTGGAAGGAATGCACGTGTTCAGGGTTGATGGCTCCTGGGAGGCCAGAGTTGTCAACTCGTGAATCGGTAGCTGTTTTGGTGGCGGAGGAGAAGGCACAGGACACTGCCAAAAAGAGAATGCTCCCTTGAAGGTGATGGTTTCTTTGTGCGGAATTCGATGCCCTGAAAGGGCACAACTTTTAAGGGCTGAAATTTCGGCCGCCTGATGTGACTAGTTTAGGGGCGCCGCCGGCATTGCTTGTCCTGGCGTCGCCGCTCTTGTGTAGTAGATGGGGTTCTTGTGCTCGTGCGCCAGGGTGTGCGCAGGGGCTTTGGCACATCGAGATGATATAGGTGTTGATGTGTAGGTGTGCGGAGGTGTAAAGCGTCGCCATTTATGTGTGGGCAGCTTGTGTGGCCACAAGTTTCCTGGGCGGGGCTCCACGAGGGCTGCAGCCTTATGGTGCAAGTGTTGGTCGCTGTTCCTGCACTGTCACCGTCGTAGCAGTCGAGCGACTTCGCCCCTTGCCATGCTGGCCGCCCCACCACACTGTACTCAGTATTGGACGGCGGCACTGCAGTAGTTGTGGCGGGAGTGCTCATTCCTGCTGGGCATTTCCTGCTTGTCGCAATGAAAAGTGAAATGGGCATGTATGGCCATTTCTTCGATGGCCGCCTAATGGCGTCAGTGGCAGGCCACCGTTGGATCCTTGTCTTCTGAAAGAGGGCCAACTCTGGCCCGCTGCAGCTCTGCATCATCTCCTGATGCTTATCGAATCATACGCCATTGATCACACTCTGCAAATTGCGCGTCCTACACCGCCTTGGGCATCTGGTTTGCATCATGTGCAAAACATCCTGTGACGCCACGTCACGTACATTACCTCACGAGCTAACAGTTTCACAGTGGGGCCTGGAAGGCAACCGTCCCAGGGGAATTGTAGCGATGCAGCTTTCCATGTGTTGTGCAGCAAAGCACATTTGTATTGTCCACATGGGCGGCCTTTGCACATACCATAAACTACTCAACCCTTCTGGATGGGAATGCAACGCTTGGCGTTCTTTTGTGAAGAACAACTAGTAAATAGCATCGCAACGCTTGGCCTTTTTTTGCCGAACAACAGAAAGAAAAATCCGGAGCTAACAACGTTTCTGCCTTACCGGTCTCCTGAGCCCACCCCGTCATGTACCCCATGGCAATACTTACAACAACAACCGTCAATGTCACATACCCGAGGTTCCCGTCCATCAAACTTGCCCATTCGCTTCGCTAGTACTTCAATGCCACTTCAGTGAGTGACTCCCCATGGGTCAGCTCCCTTTCTCGTACTTCACTCCCTCAACTCCCTCTCCATCCCACAACTAACCCGAACTCCACTATCCAGGGCGGGAGGGCTGGGTGCGAAACAAGATAAGGAGGGGGGCCGAGGGGCTGCCTAAATAGCCGCCCTCCGCCGCCCCGCCAAAGCCCGCCAAACTTGAGGGCGCCCTCGCGGGCGGCACCTCGGAATACCGTACTTTGACTGACCCATGGTACTAGGGGGTGGCCAGAAATCCCAAGGGACGGGGTTGAGTAAGCCCCAGGTTCAAACTGCACCGTTTGAATCGCCGGTGCAGCCCACCCATCGTCGCCCTTGGCAGAAACCTATTAACAGGATAGTTAATCCCATTTCTGCTTTACCGGTCTCCTTCACACCCCCACACCCCACACCCCACCCCCTTCCCCCGTGTTCCGCACATGACAATACATTACAATCACACATTTTGGTGTCCATCACCTCACTAATACAAGACCCGATTGGCGACCCACTTGAAATGTGCCCTCGCTTCGCATATTACTTAATGCCACTCTGAAGGTGACTCAACCCAGAGTTAGTTCCCCTTTCTCGTACTCAACTCCCTCTCCATCCCACAGCGAACCGAACTCACTCTATTAGGGTGGGCCGGGCGGGTGCGAAACAAGATAAAGGGGGGCGCCAAGGGTCGCACCTCAAATAGCCGCTCCCACTTGCGGCCAAACTCCCCGCCAAACCCAAGGGCCAGCTTGACCGGTCCCCTTGGCTGTGCCCAAGGTACAAGGTTCCACCCAACCGCCCTTGGATCTGGCGGGCAGCACCAACTTCGAGTACAGGGGTGACAGAAACCGGTTTAAGGATGGCCCCAAACTGTCCAAGAGGCGGAACGGCCTGACCTGGCCGTTGCGCGCCCTCCCAATCGTCGCCCTTCGCAGAAACTCATTAACAGGATAGTTAATTCTATTTCTGCTTTACCGGTCTCCTTCACACACACACACACCGTGTTCCCCACACGACAATACATTACAATCACACAGTTTGGTGTCCATCACCTCACTAATACAAGACCCGATTGGCAACCCACTTGAAATATGCCCCCTCACACTGGGGCACGGTGCAGCTCCTCTCGAGCGAAGGCGTGGTCATACCTTGGTCACACTCGGGCTGATGACGCCCCTCCAGGGCAGAAGAGATGCCCGTACTACACGTGCAAGTTGCAGGCAGTGTTCTTATCCAGCCAAACATATGGAAATCCCACTCGGACGGGTCCCGGAGCCGGTACACGACGATGTATTTCCGCATGACGTTATTGCGCCACTCTCCCCACGCGTGAATGTGGCCCTCCGGCACCTCCAAGGCGTAGCAGGCAGTGACGCCTCCCCCGCGCAGGCCGTGGTGATCAAAGGCCTCCAGGGGAGGCGAAGGAAGGGCGCGTTGTTGCAGAGGAAACCGGCTAGACACGGTCCGCGTGGAGGGGTCGGGCTCACCAGGTAGCATGTAGAAATGGTGGGGGGAGCCGCCCGCGTCTGCCCACGCCTTGTCCCGTGCGGCTGACCACTGGAGGAAGAGGTCGATGACAGCGGGGGCGTTGCACGATGGCCAGGAGCAACACCATATGTTTGGGTCCGTAGAAGCCGAAAGTTTGGTCCAACGCTCTTGAGAAATGAGCAGGCCATTCTCCAAGCGGAGGTCGTCAAAGAGAATGAGATGGCCGCTCTGCACCCGATTGAAGAAAAGGAAATCCAGCATAGCCGAACACATAGCGCGCAGAAGCCGCGGATCCCCCGTAGACAGGCCGAAGTCAATGATACTATGGATGAGCTCCGTAGGAACTGGCCGATAGGAATGGGCCGGCTCCGGCTCGTTCCTCTACCACGCCCGGGTAAGACGCCGAGTGCCGGGATCAAAGGCGGAGAATTGAAGATGGCCCAACGACTAGTGAACCACCGAGATGGCTGCCAAGCATTGGGGGAGATTGTGGATCCCCACACGCCCCTCCTCCCATAGGAAACGAATGTACTAGTAGATGGAAGAAGGGCGAGTGGGCAAAGCCTGGAGGTTGTCCACCTCACAAAAAGACGCAAAGCGGGCGAACTTTGCGTGCCTCGACTTCCGCGTAGACTCCACGTAAAAGGACAGAAATTCGATCTGCATCTAGGACCGATCCGAAGAAGAAAACCCATCCACATCACAGCCAGAAAGGGGGTGGTCTTCGGGCATGACCTCCACCAGTAGCGGGTCGTCCGCTGGCAATCATGAATATGGGGAGAGCGTCACGGCCCCGGATTCCATATCTGTAGCCTTGGCTAAATGTGGAATGCCCGCAAGTTCCACCGCGGGGGAGGAAGGACGGCCGGAATGGACGGATCCCCCGGCTTGAACATGCCTAGTCGGCATGGAATCATCATCTCCCGCAAAGCCAACCGGCGGAGCCGCAGAAACCACATGGCTGACGGACAGTCCGGCGCCAACACGATGGCTTCCACTGCTGGATGCTCAATCAGGAAGGCTGCGAGGCGCAGGAGCAAGGACCATGGCGGATTGGCCCAGTTGGCGGCGCCCGTCCAGTCCTGTAGGAAGGGATCCAGCCCCACAATTTGGGGCTCGTGATGCCGGGAATTGAAGGCCGGACAAAGGGAATTTCGATGGGAAGCAAACCGGTCGATGGTCCGCTCCCCAAACCTGCGTGTAATGGCCTTGAAAATTGCCGGATCGAGCTGGTAGTCCTCGCCCCCCTGAACCCGAGACAATTGTTCTGGGATGGTGTTGCACTTAGACGGGATGTTCTCCGGATTGAGCAGCAAGGCCCGGGCCGAACAAATCCTCCGCAGTTGGCGGAGGGGCCCGCGGAGCTGCTCGGATCCCGTCGTCATGCTGCGGATACAAAACAAGATAACCTGCGAAACAAGATAAAGGGGGGCGCCAAGGGTCGCACCTCAAATAGCTGCTCCCACTTGCCGCCAAACTCCCCGCCAAACCCAAGGGCCAGCTTGACCGGTCCCCTTGGCTGTGCCCAAGGTACAAGGTTCCACCCAGCCACCTTTGGATCCGACGGGCAGCATTGACCCCAAGTACAGGGGTGACAGAAACCGGTTTAAGGATGGCCCCAAACTGTCCAAGAGGCGGAACGGCCCGACCTGGCTGTTACGTGCCCTCCTAATCGTTGCCCTTCGTAGAAACTCACTAACAGGATAGTTGATTCTATAACTGCAAAATTTTCCAATGTGCAAGCCTTAGGATTGAATGTTTCTACGTGGACAGGCTCCTTGTCTCACCCAGGTCCACACAAACATTGGACCAACATATTACAAAAGACAACAATGTTTGTCCCAAACAACCCGAGGTACCCGCAACTTGTGTGCCCAATCGCTTTGCTAGTAGTTAAGCCAGTCTCATACATGACTCAACCATGAGTCAGCCCCACT